AAAGCCTAGATTTTCAAATTTTACAAAATTAAATAATTTAAGATAAAAATATTTTAAGATTACATATTTAAAGTCTGATTGGTCATAAACCTTCCCTAGGGCCACGTGAGGTCCTACACAAAATTTTGGGCCTGATCGGTTCAGCCGTTTTGACGTTTATTGGATAAAAACAAACGCTAAATTTATAAATAGATAACAAGCAGTTTTGAAGCTTAACAAAAACACTTTTACCTGAAGATAAGACACAGTTTCCGATTTCTGATGTTCACGACTATGTTCTGACTGAAGGACAAAATATTAAGTAAAAAAATTTGAAATATTTAATTTGTCAAAAATATCAAAGCTCTGAGCTTCCGTCAATTTTTCACATTAAAAAAATTATTGAATTGACAAAAATGAAATCCAACCAGCTCTATACGATCATATGGGCCAGCCAAGTAATTTTTATGGGACAATTCGTTTAAAAGAGGAACTTACCATGCCCAATTTACAACGGTACATTTCAAATTATGATTTTTTCCCCAGTGTTGATAAAAAAGGTTTACAGGGTATACCGTTGTAAATTCAGATATCTGTTTTTTTACCGCAAAAGTATGGAAAAATCGCATAAAAATAAGAAAAAGGTTTTTAATTGAATTTAATTTTCCTGAATATAACAGTTTTAGATCTACTGCTGGGTCGAGACAGTTTAGAGAACACAAGTCCGACCATAAAAGCCTAAAATAAAGAATACAAATAATATAACTTTTTATTCTTTTAGATTATTATAGACAAAATCTTAAGTGTTAGATTAAAATAAAGAATACAAATAATATAACTTTTTATTCTTTTAGATTATTATAGACAAAATCTTAAGTGTTAGATTAAGGTAAAATGCGTAAACACGATAAATAAAGTCTGATATGGGTTCTTTCTCAAAACTATCAATGTTTCTGTTTTAAAGAACTAAAATCTTTTATCGCGAAAACTTCAAAATTGTGTTAACGATTGGGTTTCCGGAAAATTTAATACAGAAGTATTCGACGAGGGGGGAAAGGCAAGCAAGTATATGTTTGTGAGTAAATTGCGGGATGGAGGCATATGGGCTCCTTCCCCCCTCATTCGACAGAATTCCTGAAGTATATAATGAAGAAAACGAAATTATCGATTTTAGCATTGATTTATTGACAAATTTATTTTGAGAAATATGTTCCTAACCATCTAATTAGAATACTGTATAGGTTTTGGAAAATGAGAAGTACTCATTTCCTCCTTTACTCCACAGGTTNATGGTCATTACTCATTGTTAAATTTTCTTGTCGTCAATGTAGTATGTTAAGATCTTAACGAAATCTAATGTGGAAATGACATTTTTTATAAGTAAAAATTTTTATTGTCCATACCATTTTTTTCTATTAAAAAAAACATCTAATTTTAATGTCATTGACTATTACTTTAGAATTTAGAATCATTTAGAATATGTTGACTTAAAATTTGAAATATCTGATTCCGACGTATCTGCACAGTGCACATTTTAATTATTTTCATGAAAATTTAAAAGATATTCAATTTTAAAATCAACCATTTTTTAAAAACAAAAACAAAGTAACAACTCTTTCCTCCATTATAAAGTCGGTCCGGTTTGGCGCTTAAAAACTTGTTCAGAATGTCTTCATCGTATTTTAGGAAATTAACTCATAATATATATATTTTTTATTCTAACCAGTTGTGTGTGAGTGAACTTTACTGAAGTAACCGAAGTAAAAGTTTACTGACTGTATAGGCATCTGCAAAATGCCGCAAAAACTTTTACTATCATAAAAATAGTCGTCTTTACACAAGTGCACACTAATCAATAGGGAATGTATTTTTTTTTTTAAGGGAAGGGGTCAAGGCAACTGGAACTGTTACTTGTAGAGGCAGCAAATGGAGTAACCCCTGCTATTCAGGGCCTGAATATAAATTCAGGGGTAATTACCCCTAGAATTCTAGGGGGGGTATTTACCCCCAGGATTCTAGGGGGGGGGGGGTAAATAACCCCAATGTCCGCCACTGAGTCAGACAAGGAGCATTTTCTTCACCTGTGCTATTTTGTATAAACTTTGACAAAGTTATCAAGTTATTACACTGTTCAATGATTGGATGCCAAATCCAGGGTGTCTATATGGGCATCTGGGTATATGCAGATGATATTATTCTGCTTTCTCCTAGCAGAACATATTTACATTATACCATATCCTGTACAGTGTATTTACATTATACCATATCCTGTACAGCGTACATAATATATATGTTAAGTATAAGGAAAACTAATTTATTCAAAACGTTTTTTTCTTCGCAATATATCTTCAATAAGATGATACAACATAGAAGATTACAATCTTCCGCGCAATTTACTTTATTTTGATTAACTGAACAGTAAATGTACAAAGTAAATGTACAAAGTAAATGAACAAAGTGAATAAACGAAGTAAATATACAAAGTAAATGTACAAAGTAAATGAACAAAGTGAATAAACGAAGTAAATATACAAAGTAAATGTACAAAGTAAATATATAAAGTAAAATATACAAATTAAATATGCAAAGTAAATGAACAAAGGAAATGTACAAAGTAAATGTGCAAAGTAATTGTAAAAAGTAAATATATGGAGTAAATATACAATGTAAATATACAAAGTAAATATAAAAAGTAAATGTACAAAGTAAACATACAAATTGAATATACTAAGTAAATATACAAATAAATACAGTAAATATACAAAGAAAATGTACAAAGTAAATTTTCAAAGTTAATAAACTAAATAAATATACAAAGTAAATGTACAAAGTAAATGTACAAAATAAATATACAAAGTAAATATACAAAGTAAATAAAATAGGTAAATGTGCAAATTGTGGAAGACGATGCCCGGCCGCGTTAAACAAGTTCCACAAGATTCAACAGAATGAGATAGAACAAATACGGGGCATAGTACTGATAAACATCTACACGTGTGATATCGATATTGACTCTAGTTCTGAACCCTCTAGTAATAAGTTATAAGAAATATATATACTGGAAGTTATTTATGCGTTTTTATTAGAGTCTGACTCACATCCTCTATAAAATTAAATATACAAAGTATATGTGCAAAGTAAATAAACAAGGTAAATATACAAAGCAAATGTACAAAGTAAAAATACAAAGTAAATGTACAAAGTAAATATAAGAAGTAAATATACAAAGTTAATGTACAAAGTAAATGTACAAAGTAAATACAAAGTAAATGTACAAAGTAAATATAAGAAGTAAATATACAAAGTTAATTACAAAGTAAATGTACAAAGTAAATATAAGAAGTAAATATACAAAGTTAATGTACAAAGTAAATGTACAAAGTAAATGTACAAGTTAAAATATACATAGTTAAATTTATAAAGTTTATAAATAATTTAAATATACAAAGTATATATACAAAGTAAATGTACAAAGAAAATATACAAAGTGAATGTACAAAATAAATATACAAAGTAAATATACAAATTGTACAAAGTAAATATACAAAGTAAATATACAAAGTAAATGTACATAGTAAATGTACTTAGTAAATATAAAAAGTAAATATACAAAGTAAATGTACAAAGTAAATAAACAAGGTAAATTTACAAAGTAAATCTACAAAATAAATGTACAAAGTAAATGTACAAAGTAAATGTACAAAGTAAATGTTCAAAGTAAATGTACAAAGTAAATATTCAAAATAAATGTACAAAGTAAATGTACAAAGTAAATGTACAAAGTAAATATTCAAAATAAATATAAGAAGTGAATATAAAAAGGAAATGTACAAAGTAAATGTACAAAGTAAATGTTCAAAGTAAATGTACAAAGTAAATATACAAAGGAAATGTAGAAAGGAAATGTACAAAGGAAATGTACAAAGGAAATATACAAAGGAAATATACAAAGGAAATGTACAATGCGGAAATGTACAAAGGGGTTTTAAATCTGAAAATATTCAAAACTATGGCATTTTTATTGCTGCCATCAAATTTTTCAAGGAAAATCATATTGGGGTGCAGGGGGGTTTTTAAATACTCGCCCTTGTTTTTGCCCATTTTAGTTCAGCCCGCCATATTCTGCTACATAAACACATACTTGGTACGGAGTTGGAACGGTTTTGACTATACCGATATCCTTGTACTGGTTCAGATCATGCAACTCTTGAACTAATGTATATATCTATAATATGCTGTGTCTCTAGTGTATATACCTATAGTATGCTGTGTCTCTAGTGTAAATACCTATAGTATGCTGTGTCTCTAGTGTATATACCTATAGTATACTGTGTCTCTAGTGTATATACCTATAGTATGTTGTTCTCTAGTGTGTATACCTATAGTATGTTGTTCTCTAGTGTATATACCTATAGTATGCTGTGTCTCTAATGTATATATCTATAGTATGCTGTGTCTCTAGTGTATATACCTATAGTATGCTGTGTCTCTATTGTATATATCTATAGTATGCTGTGTCTCTATTGTATATACCTATAGTATGCTGTGTCTCTAGTGTATATATCTATAGTATGTTGTTCTCTAGTGTATATATCTATAGTATGCTGTGTCTCTAGTGTATATATCTATAGCATGCTGTGTCTCTAGTGTGTATATCTATAGTATGCTGTGTCTCTAATGTATATATCTATAGTATGTTGTGTCTCTACTGTATATATCTATAGTATGCTTGTGTCTCTAGTGTATATACCTATAGTATGCTGTGTCTCTAGTGTATATATCTATAGTATGCTGTGTCTCTAGTGTATATACCTATAGTATGCTGTGTCTCTAATGAGAAAAGAAAAGCTGCTGAGAACCCATCAACAGCCAAAATACAGGGCATATAGTCAGTATCTAGAAACAGAAACAATTTGTACTTTGGAAAAGGAATTGAGTCTTTGCCACAAATTCAGTTTTTGTAAAATCTATATCTTTGCAACCTTATGTTGTAAACCTTTGATATTTTAAACTTTTTTTGCAAATTTTGGTAATTACCAGATAAAACATTTTCCTCTGGTCACAAGTGAATGTAAAACTTGTTAACATTTCACTGTCACGTAGAAAGGGATTAACATTTTACTGTCACGTAAAAAGGGATTAACATTTTACTGTCACGTTAAAAGGGATTAACATTTTACTGTCACGTAAAAAGGGATTAACATTTTATTTTCACGTAAGAAGGGATTAACATTTCAATGTCACGTAGAAAGGGATTAACATTTTACTGTCACGTAAAAAGGGATTAACATTTTACTGTCACGTAAAAAGGGATTAACATTTTATTTTCACGTAAGAAGGGATTAACATTTCACTGTCACGTAAAAAGGGATTAACATTTTATTTTCACGTAAGAAGGGATTAACATTTCACTGTCACGTAAAAAGGGATTAACATTTTATTTTCACGTAAGAAGGGATTAACATTTCACTGTCACGTAAAAAGGGATTAACATTTTATTTTCACGTAAGAAGGGATTAACATTTCACTGTCACGTGAAAAGGGATTAACATTTTATTTTCAAGTAAGAAGGGATTAACATTTCACTGTCACGTAAAAAGGGATTAACATTTTATTTTCACGTAAAAAGGGATTAACATTTTACTGTCACGTAGAAAGGGATTAACATTTTACTGTCACATAAAAAGGGATAACATTTTGGTGTCACGTAGGAAGGGATTAACATTTCACTTTCACGTAGAAAGGGATTAAAATTTCACTGTAACGTAAACAGGGATTAACATTTTACTGTCACGTAGAAAGGGATTAACATTTCACTGTCACTTAAAAAGGGATTAATATTTTGCTTTCACGTATAAAGGGATTTACATGTTATTGTCACGTAAGACGGGATCAACATTTTACTGTCACTTAAACAGGGATTAACATTTTACTGTCACGTAAAAAGGGATTAACATTTTACTGTCACGTAAAAAGGGATTAACATTTTACTGTAACGTAGAAAGGGATTAACATTTTACTGTAACGTAAAAAGGGGAGAAAATGAACGGAATGGAAAAATTACGTTATCCTTCTCAATAATTCGTACATTACACTCTTTAGACAAAAGATTACTTAAAATTACGATTAAAGTTACTTTAAAGTGTCCTACTGTTTAAATTCTCTTCCAAGAAATCGTTATGGAGAAAGCTGATGACGTAATAAATGACTGCAAAGAAGAGCCAGCTAAAGTAGAAGCTGGCAGCAAACATCATCACCAGGAACCCCCACTGAGAATCTAATAAAAACAATTTATCTTCATTTTTTAATGAAAATTAAGATGCTTAATTAGCAGATCGTTAAAAAAAGGTTTTTCCATTTAAAAGAGGCTCCATCAATATCCAACAAGTGTTGAATAGTTTAATTCTTTATAAGTTTGATTTGAACATATAATAAAGTTATTTTCGCGTGTCCGAACATTCAAAGCTCTTGTTTGTTTTGAATGTCCGGATATTTAAATATCTGGTTAGTTTCTCTAATATGGACTTTTAAAGCTCTAGATAGTTTCTCTAATCCAGACATTTAAAGCTCTAGATAGTTTCTCTAATTCAGACATTCAGAACTCTAGATAGTTTCTCTAAACCAGACATTCAGAGCTCTAGATATTTTCTCTAATCCAGACATTTAAAACTCTAGATAGTTTCTCTAATCCAGACATTCAGAGCTCTAGATATTTTCTCTAATCCAGACATTTAAAGCTCTAGATAGTTTCCCTAANAATAATAATAATAATAATAATAATAATAATAATAATAATAATAATAATAATAATAATAATAATAATAATAATAATAATAATAATAATAATAATAATAATAATAATAATAATAATAATAATAATAATAATAATAATAATAATAATAATAATAATAATAATAATAATAATAATAATAATAATAATAATAATAATAATAATAATAATAATAATAATAATAATAATAATAATAATAATAATAATAATAATAATAATAATAATAATAATAATAATAATAATAATAATAATAATAATAATAATAATAATAATAATAATAATAATAATAATAATAATAATAATAATAATAATAATAATAATAATAATAATAATAATAATAATAATAATAATAATAATAATAATAATAATAATAATAATAATAATAATAATAATAATAATAATAATAATAATAATAATAATAATAATAATAATAATAATAATAATAATAATAATAATAATAATAATAATAATAATAATAATAATAATAAATAATAATAATAATAATAATAATAATAATAATAATAATAATAATAATAATAATAATAATAATAACAATAATAATAATCATATAATAATAATATTAATAATAATAATAATAATAATAATCTTAACAATATTAGCAAAGATACTCTTATTTAGGGGGGTCAGCCTCCCAATCCCCGTGGTCAAACTTCTTAATACTTATATCTGTATAATTATTTTCTTATTATCATTAATACTATATTCTACCTTAAAATGTGTAACTGTTGTAATCTTTCTTTTAGAAGTTTGTAGCAGATGAGTTCTGTTACTGAACCCGAGCTCATAATCATCCTGAAAAAGTAAAGGAATTGAGTTTTTGTCACAACCTAAATTTTTTTAATTTCTAAATCTCTGCAACTAGTTGGTATAAACCTTTGATATTTCAACAGAAGGAATAGTTTGAAATATCTAAGGTCTACGACATTGGGCTGCCAAGATATAGGGATAAGAATATTTGAGTTTGTGGCAAAAACTCAGTTCCTTTACAATCAATATAGACTATCAACGAAACTTCAAGTGAAATCCCGAATATTGAGAACAGTATTTCGTATGATTATAAAGGAAACCTACAAATAAAAAGATATAACAGTCAAATTATGATAGGATTCATAGATTTGTTATTTTCTAAATATTATCTTTTTAAACTTTGATTCAAATACCATGTCAGGTGTATTAACGTTTTTTATAACTCAGACACAGTTTTATATCAATTTCTCGAGACCCTCTTTCATTTTACCGTAACAGTCCCTTTAAAGAGCATGAACTCTCCGCTAAAACCCACTTTTTCAATTGTGCATGCATAATTTTGATTTGCCTGATACTTTATTAAAAGTTGATAATTCTTCGAATTAAAAAAATTATCCCCCCCCCTGAAAAAATTAACCCCCCCCCCTAAAAAAATTATCCTCCCCCCCCCAAAAAAAAAAAAAGTGATTTAAATAATTTTGCTTATGCGTCCTGTAAGCATTATTGTTGTAAGAATTATGTTTTAAATAATTTAGCATTATTGTTTGTAGTATGAATATAATAAAGATGGAAGTACTATCTTTAATGATCATTTCAAAAATTTGTCAAGTGTCACGTAAATTTAAAAGTTATAAATAACTGCATGAGTTGTTGAGTAGAGATCATGAAGATTTATGACTTTTTTCATTTACAATATAGTGGGATAGCTGGAGTCAAACTCTATATAGACAAGATGTATAGAAACAGGAAGGTATATCAACATGGAGGGGTTTTCTGTAGGATTTAAAAGAATAATTTTTTTTTTGTAAAAAAATTGCATTCTTAAGGTAATAATCCTCTTATTGAATCTTGTATATGAACAATAATATATGATTTTATAAAATCTATTTACAAAATTGCAAACATGATATTTCATCATTTTGTAAACACAATAAAAACTGAGGGGACCTACGATTAGTAAACAATGCAGTACACGAGGGAGGGAAGGCCAAGCGGCCATAAACCCGGTGAAAAATCTCCGAACCCTGTGGAATGGTCTCCGAACCCCGTTGAGGAGGTTTTTTGAAAAAACGTTACAGGAATCAGCAACATTAATAACGTTTGGTTTGTGAAAGGGCTATCTATCTATCCTGGTAAATTTCGAAAACCTTTAAAAAGTGAGGCATGCACAAATCACAATTACTATAATTGAAACCTACATTTGATCAATATTGCCTGAGACAATGTCGTTTTTTCAAAGTGTTTTATTTTGATACTTTTTTTCATTTTTTTATGAAGAAAGAAATGCGCAATTGACTTGAAATGTCCGAAAGATGACTTGAAATTACGTTTTCACTTTGAAGTCTCCTAAAGCAAAATTCCAATGTTAAATAATGTTAAATAGGTTGTAGTGGAGAATTCAATAAATTTGAATTTCAGAAGAAATGATAAAAATTCACTTTTCACTTATTGATAAATTATTTCTTTTCGTGGTTTTTCAAAATTTGAAGAAAATCAAAAAATTCATAAATCTTCCCTGGGGTCATGTGAGGTCCCAAACAAAATTTGGGCCCGATCAGTTCAGCAGTTTTTACGTTTATTGGATACAAACGGACACACAAACACCCAGAAAGACAAGCAAAGTATATAAATAAATAATTTTTATTTGTAAACTAATAAGTCTAGAATTCGAAGGATTTTTTAAAGATGGAAAACAAAACGTTAACTATTAAAAAATAATTTTTAATTGGAGAGCACTATGAATTGAAGAGTACTTTTAATTGGAGAGCACTATAAATTGGAAGGCACTATTAATTAAAAAATTCTGTAAATTGGAAAGTGTTATGAATTAAAAAGTACTATGAATTGAAAATTGTAAGATAGTCCAAAAATTTGTCACCTTTTCAAAAAAAAAACTTCACTAATTTTGATGCTAATGCTTGTGCTTGCTGCGTAATAGGAAAAACAACAAAACAGCTTAGCTTATCATGTTTTTTAAACAAAAAAAAATTTCATGAACGATCGTGTTGTTCATGAAACAAACGATGGACGAACGGTTTGGATCGTTCATAGAAATGAAAAAAAAATCGTTTTTTGAAAACGAATGAATAATACTATTTAGAATAGTTTGAAAAAACTTGAAAAAAACTATCGTTTTTATTTACTGAACAAACAAATTTCTAAAAGGTTTTAACAAAAATGTTCGTTTTTACTGGAAGAACGATTTTCGAATAAACTTTTAAAAAAATGACTATCTTTGTTTTTACTAAAAAAAATGAAAGATTTTATTGAAAGAACGATTTTGCTGACGATCTCTAGATACTATATGTATTTAACAACAGGTAAAAAAAACCTTTATAATTTGAATTTGTTAAACTTACATCAACTCCATTATGAGAATAATGTTGCTTTATTCCTCCTTTCCTTGTCTCTTCACTAGACGTAAAACCCTGAAAAAAATATTGAAAAATTCCCCAAAAATAAAAATTAAATACACAAATTCTCCCAAGAATAATATAATACTGTAGATTTATAATAACTTTCACCTCGACAGTTCAAACAAATTCGACTAAAAAACTATTAACTTTATTTAGAGCTATTTGATAATCCCATCCTGCGGTTAATACATGCAGATATTTTTTGTATTCCCTTCTAATGTCGGACCTCTATATTCAAATATTTAGAAAATAACAAGAAGTACATCGTATCAATGTAATGTGGAAGACGATGCCTGGCCGCCTTAAACAAGTTCCACAAGATTCAACGGAATGAGATAGAATGGATACGGGGCATTGTACTGACGGACAGTCTACACGTGTGATATCGAGATAGACTCATGTTCTGAACCCTCTAGTAATAAGTTATAAGAAATATATATACTGGAAGTT